CTATGAAAATTTATAAAGGTTCACGGCTAGTCACTTGGATTGAGGTTAAGGACTGCCTTCTGTAGATTGTCGGGCTGGTAACTCTCGTTCAAGATCGGGAAGTACATAGTCCAGCTCTGAGCCCCCGCACTTTTACCAATGTCTTACACCCAATCTTGATCTTTCATATGTGGCTAAAGATTTCTTTTGCTCGTGATTTTTACTACTCATTTTTCTGACTTTCGTGCTGGGTTTTCTTGCCTTGTTTATTTTTCTTGCGAGTTTATTTAAATCTGTCGCAAGTCATACCACGCTCACAATATTAATCACGCAATAGCAGCAGATGCCCATGTGTGCTTTTACAGTTTATCTACAATATTTTACTTTACCGCATTTTACTTCTCAAAGTACCTTTTATTTACTTGCAAGTTGCTTATTTTGCATGTAAAACCAAAATCGAAATAAAACAAAACCAAACTTTGACACCAAAACTGAGTAACATAAATCACCAATCTCAAACACTTAAACCCTGAAGTTATCGCGTCGACAAGAAATTTAAAGCAACTTCGTGGGCAGCGCAACAAGTAGTTTGGAGTGGACTACAGGTGGAGGTGGTCGTCATTCTACAACAACAAAATGAGTCTACGCCAACTAAAATTTCCTAGTTTAAACAACCCAGAGGATTTCGAGGTAGCCCGCCTAGCGCGACATAATTCCTCACCCTCTTTTAGGCCCCTGCACAACCATGTTATGTAGCGTAAGTCCTAACTCGCCTTAGGTTCCAAGGTTGTCGTCTAGAACGACGTAAAACCTCTTATCTCTGCGGGCTATTTGCATAACCAGTTATTATGCAAGTGTAAGTCCCAAATAATAAAATTGACGGGATTCAACATTCAAATAACATCTTCTCCAAAACACAACCGCACAGTAGGATAGTCTGGGAAGTCACTGAGGTTTCTCCTCATAATCTATGAAATCCCCTACCTGTTTCTTTCTTTGAACTCCTGAAATAACTGTTAATGTTTGAGTCACTCCCATTTGCCTTTCCACGTTCTATCGTGAAAATCTAAACTTTGAAATCTTGAAGACTAGTACATCTGATTATTATTGAAAGTTTTCTCAAGTGACCCCAGTCATTTGAGAAGTCAATTGAGAAGTAATTAACTATAGGAGCTTGTCTCTATAGGGAACTTGGAACCCAAGTAAAATAAACCTTATTTAATCTTTGTATTAGATAAGAGTACTTGTTGGCCTCATATAAAATATTTACTTGTCGGTCACACATAAAAGGTTCGCATACCAAACGGATGTCACAAATCTCTTAGTTGGCAAGATTGAGTCTATCACCGAGGTCTACATTTATCTTTCGGGAAGGTGTAGTATTCGCGGTATTAGACACAATTATGCAAACTATTGGACTGATGAGATCTATTTGGTCTCATTTTTTTCAAAAAATTAAAACATACTACTTTCAAAACTCAAACTATATATCTATTATATTAAATTAAATCTAAAAATTATTTTTATTTTCATATTTTCAAATTTCCAAAAAGCTGACCGACAAACCTCTATAAATGTCTAGTAAGAACATCCATAACTAAAGAAAAAAGATATGGGCTTAAAGTTGATACTTGAAGTAATCCAACTGAAATAGGAAAATATTTGGTCCATTCTCCTTCTGTTCGAAAACAAGTAACATCTGTAGTATACATATCTTTAATTACTTGAATATAAGTCATAACAGCACATTTCTCCTCTAGAACCCTCCAAAGGATATCTCCTAGAACCTTATCACAAGCTTTTTCCATATCAATTAAAATCATATGTAGATCATTCTCTGTGTACTTCTCTATCAAACCTCTCAATAAATGTTTAGCTTCCATAGTAAACCAGCTCGACATAAATCCAAATTGATTATGAGAAATCTTTGTATCACGTCTTAACGTATGTTCAATTACCCTCTCCCATAATTTTAAAGTATGACACATCCAAGTTAATTCTTTTATAATTTGCACTTTTGCGCACCCCCTTTATTCTTAAAAACGGGGACCACAAGACTCTTCCTCCACTCTTCAAACATCTTTTTAGTTTTTAAAATAATATTAACGAGTGAAACTTCCAAATCTTTAAAATATTTCCACACTTCAATTGAGATATCAGCAGGTCCTACAGACTTTTTATCCTTGGCTTTCTTTAAAGCCTCATCTTCTTTTTTACTAATGCAACGGTAAACATGAAATATTTTATTATTATTAATGATATTAAGATCACTTTGGTCGATCGTATTTTCAGAAACTTCATTGAAAAATTTATCAAAATAACTCACCCACCTATGTTGAATATCTTTTTCTAAGAAAAACACATTCTGATTTTCATCTTTAATACACTTTACTTGAATTAAATCTTTTATTTTCTTTCCTCTTTGTCTGACTTGTTTAAACATATATTTTTCACCCTCTTTAGTATCTCATATATTATAAAGATTACTAAAGCTGGATTTTTAGGGTCACAGTTTGTTCTCTTAGACGCACTACGGGTCATTTTATATTTTTGTCAGTTCTCTAAGCTTTTACATTTAAACCAAATTTTATAACATAATTTTTTATATTTTATCTTTTCTTGCGTATTATTATTCCACCACAAACTATTTTTATTTATAAAATTTTTTTTCTTTTGATTCTCCAAGTACACATTTTGCATTTGTTTAATAGTGTTTATTACTGTATTCTACATATAATTTATTTCTTGATGAACATCTCAAATCTTGAAATATTGAAGTTTACTCATAAAAATAATTTTATTTGTGTCTTCCAGGTGCCCCCATGTAATTCTATGACAATGATTCCTAATATTCCTTATTTTATAACTCTTAATTTTAAAAGCCAGAAATAATAATCGATGTTGAGTATTTAAATCCTCACTTGGAATAATCTTACAATATTTATATTCTCGACGATCTCTTCTTCTTATAAGAAAATAATCAATTTTTGTTTTATTATATCTATTCTTATAAGTAATAATCCGCTTATCTCTTTTTTAGAATAAAGTATTAGCAATAACAAAATCATACGCTAAAATAAAATATAATATGATTATCTTCTTCATTAATCACTTTAAAACCGTAACCACTATGAATATTTCTAAATTTTTCTACCACTTTATTGACTTGCCCATTTAAATCTCCTCAAATAAAAGTTCTTTCTTCAAGAGGTATCATTTGTATTAAGTTCTTTAGGTTATTCCAGAATTTTTCTTTATAACCTATATCTAAACTTACTTGAGGAGCATAATCACTTATAATATTAAAAATCTTAATATCAACAATAATCTTAAGGGTCATAACTCTATCTCCAATTCTATTAATTTTAATAACATTATCTCTCCAACTCTTATCTATAATTGCACCTACACCATTTTTTGTGCGACTCTTACCTGTATACTAAGGTTTAAAACCTAAGCTGTCAATCTTTTTAGCCTCTTCTCCAACCTATTTTGTTTCTTTAATACATAAAATATTTATCTTTCTATGAATCATAATATCATCTAATTTCATTAATTTACCTGCGTTATATTCCAAGATGTTATCTTAATAGTACTTTCATGGACTAACTTCTTTACCACATCTGTCTGTAATATTTGAACTCTTGCTTATTTGATACTAGACCCGGGCGCCAGTATAGCAGCCTTTGCATACTTTTCATTGTATTCATGTCATACAACGCCCAACTTTAAGGGGAGCCCTAGTATTTACGCAATGATAAAAAAAAATTCATGTCATGATTTTTTGATAAATTTTATACTTGTTGTTCACTATCTAACGCAACCTTCCACTTTTCACTTTCGGGGCTTGGGAACTGGCAATGACAATGTTAATCTTTTCCATCCAATTAATCACTGTTATTGTTGTAGGTGACTTACTTATATTAACTCTTTCAAAATCAGCTAGTCTCTATTGCTCTTGGACAATATTTCGGGGGATATGCTATGTGATAAACGTTTGAATACTTCATTGATGATTTCTCTTTGGTAGTGTGATTACTTGCTCTGCATTCAGTTAGTGTAGGATTGTGGACCAAGAACGGCCAAGGATTTAGGTTTAGTTAGCTGGTGTAAGGACGAATTTTGGTGGAGGTAAGATGGTTAGATTTTGACGATTTAGGGCTTAGGGTATTTGATTGGGTAGAGGGATTATGTAATGTAAATTTTAGATTTTGGGATTGGGGAAAATAAGTTTATAATTTTTGGCTATGATATCAAATGCATCGATCTAGGGTTCCTAGACGGCGTGGAAAGATTAAGGGATGGGTTAGGATAGTGGTAGGATAAGTAACAGAGGACGGTGGAGTGATGATGACTGAAATCTGGGGCAATTGACAGCTTGACAACTGCTTGATAGCAAGAAAACTCCGGGGGCGCTGTGAAATTGGTTGCATAGGAGGTTGTCGGGCGTTCAAGAGAAATCAAAATCTTGATCCAATCAATCTATAGGCATACCACCTGAGAAAGATTTAGTGATATAATAGTCCGGTAAATATAAACTAGTGGAAACAACCTCTGTTGCATAAAATTGAAATCCGACATGTTGCAAATCAGGTTCTAAGCAAATTTCTTATTCTAAGATATCAATTAAACCCTAATGCTAATTAAAAAAAAAAGAAAATCTGGCTCACAATGGTTGCTGACACTTATGGGCGGGATAGATCCTGAATAGTACCATCCTAGGCGGGAATTTTCTCACTATACTGCACTCAGGATGGGATTTCCCGTTCCCACATTTGACCCGACACATGATCATGTGTTGTGTAGACGTGCTCAAGTCAAAATAAGGACCAACCCATCAGGCTTAAAAATTAAGATTGAAGACATAATAGATTCTATTGGAGGTAAATTTTTTTAAAAGTATTATTGGGAGAACAAGTGCATACCATAATTTTTTATAAGCTTAATTTAGCTGCTGCAAGTTAATGCTGTCATTTATTTTATTCCATCATTTAATTGACCTAGTTTTTGGACAACTACAGGGTGATAGAAATGCAAGAAATCCTTGATCAGCAACTGGCTGAGGAGGCAGCAGAGGCCGAGGGTGGGGGTGCCATGGCATCAATTACGAATTCTAGAAGAGCTGCAAAGTATGTATTTTGTTTCTTTCTCAACCTATCGATTGCATCAAATGGTTAAGGTTCACAAGTTATTCATTTCATCCTGTTGTTTGAATTAATTTAAATCCATTGCAAATAGCAAGTAAAATTTTTGATAATATACACAACAACAACAAAAACAACAAATCTTTATCCCACTAAGTGGGGTCGGCTACATTTAGTGTCATATTTTCATTTAATTCTAATAGATTAAGAGCATTTTTTATACAATATGTCCAAGTCTTTTTTGGTCTACCTCTGCCTTTCATAACATCGGTCAAAGCTAAAACATCTACTCTCCTAATTGAATCATCAGATGGTCGTTGACTAATGTGACCAAACCATTTAAGATGACTCTCTCTATTCTTGGTGCCACCGAAGCTACACCAACCCTATCACGGATATATTCATTTCACATTTTATCTCTAAGTGTCAAGCCACTCATCCACCTAAGCATTCTCATCTCAGCAACACTTAACTTTGTTTTATGCTTCACTTTTAAAGACCAACATTTTGCGCCATAGAGCATTGCAAGTTTCACCACCATCTTATAAAATTTTCCTTTCAATTTAAGCGGTACTTTTCTATCACACATTAGGCCCGAAGCATTCTTCCGTTTCAACTAACCAACTTGAATTCTACTAATGACATCCCCATCTATATCAACATCCCTCTTAACAATAGACCCAAGATATCTAAAACGTTCACACCATTTAATGATTTGATTACCCATATTTACAACTCTGCCACTAGAGGTACTACTGCTAAAATTACATTCCATGTGTTATGTTTTAGTTCTACTCAAACGAAGGCCTTTAGATTTCAATGTAGGCCGCCATAATTCAAGTTTGTCCTGAGTTTTTTCTCTAGTGTTATCCACAAGAAGGATATAATCAACAAAAAACATACACTAAGGTCATCATTCTGTAAATGTCTAGTAAGTGCAACCATAAGTAAAGCAAAAAGATATGGGCTTAAAGCCGATCCTTGATGTACTCCAACTGAATAACAAAATAGTTTGGTCAATCCTCCTTCTGTTCAAACATAAGTAACAACTCTAGCATACATATCTTTGATGACTTAAGTATAAGTCATATCAACACCTTTTTGCATCAAACTCTGATACATCTAATTTTAGTTTCATCATCCTTGAGAAAATCAGTACTTAAAATTAATTATTGTGCAGACAATACTTGAAGAGCTCCTAGATGGTGGTGCATCATCAATAAAAGAAAAACTTTGTACTTTTATAAAAGTTCAAATACATGGTCTTTTATCTACATTTTGTAAAATTTGATGTGTTACAATGCACAACAACATTCTTTATTTCTCTTTTTATTGAGACATTTGGGTCCTCACACATGTTTGACTATATTTTCTTAGCTATGCCTTTTATAAGGGGTTCGTCTTGGTTCTTTAATTTACTTTGTTAAATGTGTCGGTGTCATTGTGCATGTGTGATTATTCATCAATCGCTTTTACTTTTGGTTTCTCATACCTTTTTTACCATGCCACTGCAATATTTATGCAAAATAAAGTTAACTCATATATATATATATGTATATATATATTGATATTACGAATGTCGTCGTCCCGTCGCTCTGCTAGGGTTTCGCCCCATGGCGAACCCTAGCGTTTTGATTGTCGCTGCTGCTCCGATCTCCACTCTCTCACGCGTCCATGCGTTGGCATCGTCAATTGCGGCGGAGAAGACGCAAATCTTGCTGTGTTTTCTTCCATGCGTCGCAACGCCATCATCTGCGTCGCCTAGCGATTCGTTTCCACTCGCCTTCCGCCAGCGTTGTCGACCGCTCACCAAAGTTCGCGACTGCCTGCGTCTGCGCCTGTCAGTGCCGATCGACAGCTTGCTGAAGAAATTGCTTCAGGACGTTCCTACGCCGCCGCCCTCGCCAGTGATAACCCCGTCTCCACTCCTCTCCGCCCCTCTTTTGAATATGTTTCCGCAACGATACCACGACAATTTTGCTCTTGGAATTGAAACCAAATTTCTAAAAAAAGCTTCCTAAGCTTCCCGTAAAAACGGTAAACCTGCAATCTTTCTCACTGAGGCAGAAATCTCCACCCTAGCTGTGCCCTGTCGACTGTTCTTAGTAGGTAAGTTTCTTTATGGAAACTCTAAACTTAAGCTAATTCGAAAGGATTTTGAGCAAATGAAGCTGAATGGAGGTTGGAAGATCGGTAAATTGGATGGTCGCCACATTCTTATTCAATTATCAAATGACGAAGACTACATCTATTTGTTTGCGAGAAGAGTTCTTCGAATAGAAAACCAGGTGATGAAGGTTTTAAAATGGATGGTGGATTTTGACCCTTGTACTAAATCTCCTACCATTCCTATTTGGTTGTGCTTCTCAGAAGATCCACCGTTTTGATCAATAGCTTCTCTTCGCTTTAGCGATAGTATACGGTAAACCCCTCAAAGCTGACATGCCTACAGTGAATTTGACTCGGCCTTCAGAAGCCAGAATTTTGATAGAAAGGGATAGTACTTTACCTTTTCCGGGAGAAATATGGATTGAGACATAACATCAGGGATTTTGACAGCAAACAGAACTTGAACAGATACTACTTTATTGTACCAACTGTCGTATATTTGGACATTCTCTTTCTCAATGTTATCAGGTGCATCCGAATTTAAAACCTTCAAGTAAAAAATGCTTCTGGATCTGCCTCACCTCATACCTATCTCTCCTTCCCTCCTGAGTGCATTCCACAGACTATTGAAACACTGGTTAACACGATGCCACCTCCCCCTCCCACTACCGGAGACAATACTGTCTCTGTTCTTCCGACTGATATATTGACAGATGGTTTACTTGGGTCCGATAATCAGGATATCCACATCCCCAGGATGCATCAGGTGTTGGTGTTGAAGAGACATCATCTCTTCAGAATCAGAATGTTGTTATTGTTAGTCAAGAGCTGGGGGCTCATTCTCTCCTACATGCCCAACAATATGTTGACCACACTGATCAGATGAGCCAGTCCTCAGATGAGGAATGACAGGTATACACATCTAGAAAGAAAAAGAAGAATAGAGGCACACCCCAGCTTGGGAATGAAATGGATGATACTCTAGT